CAGAACTTCCCCTGATTGTCTGGCATCTGGAGGACCCTTCAAAGGACCCCACATGGACTGACGCTGTGTCCTGGTGACTCAGGAAGGTGCGAAACAGTGGAAGGTAATTTTAACAGCTAGTGGGCGAGGTTGACAGGCCCAGGTGCCAGAGGAAGCAGCAGATAAAAACTTTCTGGATGGAAGGTTTCTTTACCTGTGGCTTTCAAACCATTGCTTCCTTGAGTTGTGGGTGGTTCCTATCTTAGTCTGTTGGGCTGCCAAATAAAAATACCGTAAACTGGCTGGCTTATAAACAACAGAAGTTTATTTCTCACAGTTCTCGAGACTGGGTAGTCTAAGATCAAAGCACTGGCAGATTTGGTGTCTAGTGAGAGCCTACTTCCTAGAAGGCATCTTTTTGCTGTAACCTCACATGGCAGACATGGGGGTGGGGGAGATCTTTGGGGTCTCTTTTATAAGGGCACTAATCCCATTCATGAGGGCTCCACCCTCTTGACCATATCACTCCCAAAGGCCTCACCTCCAAATACCATCACCTTGGTAGTTAGGATTCAACATGTGAATCTGGGGGGACATAAACATTCAACTTATAGCAGTTCCCAGGCAGCAGCCCCAACAAGCCTAACCCCATGTGCTCTCAGATAAGCCAGCAAACTGTGGGGACTCTGGGATGTGCAGGGACCCATGCCCCTCTGTCCCTGTGTCACTCATATTATTATCATGTCTCATTAGCTTCGCTTTTCCCTGGCCCAGACTCAAAGGGAGTCTGCCCACAGGCATGGCCAAGGGGCCAGAACCTGGTACCACTTTATAACAGAGCAGAGTAAAGGATTGAGGGGTACAGCACAGCCGGAAGGGCTGGGTCATTGACATACTGCCTTAGGACATCTACTTCTCATCATTCTCTTGATCTGGCACAAATCCTTCCATGGTAAATGACCTCTGGACACCAGAGCTATGTATTAGCAGTTCTGGGGCCTTCTAGCTGTTAGGAAGAAAGTGGCTCTAGGACCAGTCAAAGGGCTAATTTGAGTTGGTGAAGGGCCAACTGTAGCTCTGTGGTGGTTGTTTTATCATGAGTAATGAACGAAAATATGCTTATTGAAAAAAAAAGTATATCTAGACATTATAGAAATATGCATATATTTCTATACCTATAGAATATATGTAACATATGCTTATTGTTAATCCATATCTACATATATACGTGCGTGGATTTGTAAAACAATATAGACAGTTATAGAAAAACAAGTGAAAATACGTCTTCACACCCCATTCTACCCATTCCCCAAAGGCATTGTGATGGATGTCCTTGTAGACATTTTTCTGTTCATTTACATAATAAGAGTGCCTGTGTATTCATACGTTTATGGTTAATTTTTTCTTTCCACAAAAAGGCTTATATAGATATCCAGTGACTTGGTTTATTCACTGCATTTATCTTTGATTCTTTTCCATTCTTTTTAACTGTGGCAGAATATTCCACTGTGGATGTAACATTCTGTTCTGCTGATGAAAGATATTTAGGTCATTTCCCTTTTTTTGTTGTTGTTATAAACAGCGCTGCAGTGAATCTCTTTGGCCATACGTCTTGGTGATGGGAATTGATATCTTTGTCGAATAGATTCCAAGAGGTAGAATAATGGGGTCATGGATAAAGCACATGTAACATTTTAGTGGCGACCGCCAAATACTCCTTCTGAAAAGTCCTTCCAGTTTCCTCTCTCACTTGCAGTATATGGAAATATAGGTTTCACACCCTTGCCAGTACTGAGATTATTGTTAAAATGTGAATTTTTAGTCTGGTGAGGTGGGGGTGAATCATATCCTATTGTTTTATTTTGTATTTCTTTAAGTATGTGTAATGTTGAACATTTTTTCATGTGTTTATTGCCACTGGTATTTATTTTTCTTTAATTAGCCTGCTTATATCCTTTATTGATTTTTCAGTTGTAGGAGATCTGTGCACTTTGGATATTAATAATTTGTAATATAGGTTGCCAATATTTCCCTCTCAGGGGATTGCTTATCTTTTACTTTTGTTTATGACAGCTGTTTGCCAAAGGGAAGTTTTAAATATTTACAGAAGAATTTGTAGGAGTAGCTGGGAGTTTAAGTGGACTTAGACTGGGGATTGAGCCCTGTTTTAGCTGTTGTTCAAATGTATGCGTATATATCATACGATGATTAATAAGCCTTTTAGAAGTTAAATGATTCATGGGCACACCTATTTCTGTGTATTTCCTCAGTTGGCGATGCTAAAAATCCAACTGATATTTTGTAGGGAGTTCCAAATTGGGAACTCTTAGAAAGACTGGGGACCACTGACCCAGAAGATGGACTTACATCTGCTTATAAATAATTGATAAAGTGTATGAACCAGGACTCATTTCGTTGAAAGTAACAGAAACCCAACTCAAACTAGCTGAAATAAGACGACTTTCTCGACTTACAGAACTGGAACATCTAATGGACACTTTGACCACCTCTGGACCCAGGGGCTCGAAGGGTGGATGTCCTCAGGTCTTCCTTCCTCTTTCTGATAACTCTCTTCATTTGTTGGTCTGGCTCATCTCTACTTAGCCTCATTTTCTTCCACTGCAGAGGCTGCCCATGAGCGACAGATGGTTGGGGCAGCCCCAGGTTTCCATTCTTAGAGATCAGCGTCCAGGAGAAAAGGAGCCCCTTTCCCCGTGTCTGTAGTGTACCTCTCTCAAGGAGGCAGGACGGTGTGATTGACAGTTCAGCCGAACCACATGCAAGGGAAGGAGTGGTTCACCAACAGAAAGAACAGTAGATGGACAAACAGAACAGACTGCAGGTCCAGCAGACAGTGGGGGAGAACCTGGTCTGGAGGCAGAGGGGTGAGCTTGAGATGGCTTTCCATCCACCATGTACACCTTGGGCAGCTGCCTCAGCCTCCCCTTGGATCCCTGGCTCTCTGCTCTGTAAAATGGTCTCTTGAGGATTAATGAGCGGATGCCTGTGCTTGGGCTCAGGGGCCCACAGAGTGCAAAGCAGATGACATTAAATGAGATACGTCAGACACCTGTCCAGCACTTTGTAGGCACTCAATAGGTGATGGTTTTCCTCCTTAGTATTTGCCAGAATTCAGAGGCTGTTCAGAACGAAGTAATCGGGTTGCATGAAGTTAGTGTGTCAGTTCTTCCTTTACCACCATGGGTGAGGCCCCCTCTCTCTGGGGGGCCCACCTGGTGTTGCGTAGATAATTATTGATAAGGAAAGGATAAGGGCATTGAGAGAAAGAGGCAGGGCTTGGAGGGGGCTCAAGAAACAGTTGAAGCTGACTTTTTGCTACATTGAAGTCCAGCCTAATTCTGAGGGAGTCGATAGTTACGGTGAAAATCCAGCTGCCCTCTGGGCCCGTCTAGCTGGCCTGTGCACCCTATCCCCTACCCCCGCCCCCCGCCCAGGACCATGTGTGTCGTGACCTGCTTTGCTTTCTCTGCAGTCCACCTGATCCCAGTGTCGGCAGCTAAGAATGGAGTGACTAGCAAGAATCGAAAGAGGATCATGCCTGACCCCGTGACGGAGCCCCCCGTGACGGACCCCGTTTACGAAGCCCTTTTGTACTGCAACATTCCACGTGTGGCCGAGCGCAGCATGGAAGGTAGGCCTGGCTGCGCTGCCCAGCGTGGTACCATCTTCAACCAGCATCTAAGGAGCTAGACGGCTACGGCCCAAAGCTTGCAGTTGCCACCAGGCTGTGTCCTTGAATGAGTTTCCACGTCTTAGTTTCCTTGTCTGTAAAATGGGCATAACTTGCCGTCCCTACTCACAGGGCTGCTGGGAGGATTAGGTGACCTCTTTGAGCAGCACGAGGCTCACGATGAGCCCTCCACAAATGTTTGCCATCATCCTGATTATCAGTGAGACAGCAGTGGGATGGAAAGGTGGCCTTGGCTGGCCCTAGGGTGTCATCCTCAGCTAACTCCTTTCCCGGGCGGGCTCTCTCTAGGCTTAGGACCTCCACAGCATGCCCTGCCGGTGTCTTGAAGTGAAAGTGTAGGAAAATATGATTTCTGTGTTGAGTTTTGCCTTTTTGAAAGTGTGTCAAAGAATGATGGTGAATATTTATCTGTTTGTGCCCTGCTGTGTTTCACGAGAGGGAGATTTAAAGCAGAAGTCGTTGTTTCCAGTACTTCTGTGGGCCTCCCCTAGTCTGTGGATGTGCGTGAGGCTACATGAATAGTCCTTTTTTTGCTTTACAATGTTGTGTTAGTTTCTGCTGTATAACAAAGTGAATCAGTTATACGTATACGTGTATCCCCATATCCCCTCCCTCTTGCGTCTCCCTCCCACCCTCCCTATCCCACCCCTCTAGGTGGACACAAAGCACCGAGCTGATCTCCCTGTGCTATGCGGCTGCTTCCCACTAGCTATCTATTTTACACTTGGTAGTGTATATACGTCCATGCCACTCTCTCGCTTCGTCCCAGCTTACCCTTTCCCATACCCGTGTCCTCAAGTCCATTCTCTACGTCTGCATCTTTATTCCTGTCCTGCCCCTACGTTCTTCATGACCTTTTTTTTTTCCTAAGATTCCATATATATGTGTTAGCATACGGTATTTGTCTTTATCTTTCTGACTCACTTCACTCTGTATGACAGACTCTAGGTCCATCCACCTCATTACAAATAGCTCAGTTTCGTTCCTTTTTATGGCTGAGTAGTATTCCATTGTATACCTGTGCCACATCTTTATCCATTACATGAATAGTCTTGCCCACGTTTCACTGGAGGTCAGGTGACCCCCACCACACCCCAGAGCCTCCCCATGGCTTCCAGGGGGCTGGGGCGTAAGCAGCCCTCTCACGTTCCTGTGCCCTACCCTGTGAGGCTGGTCAGAGGCCTCCCACCCAGCACAGCACCCTTCCACCACGGCCACCCCTCCCCTCCTCTGCGAGGTCAAAGCGATGGACATCTCCTGGGCGACAACCAGACAGTGTGCTTCTCTCTCGCAGGTCACGCTCCGCATCATTTTAAGCTGGTCTCAGTGCATGTGTTCATTCGACACGGGGACAGGTACCCACTGTATGTCATTCCCAAAACGAAGCGCCCAGAAATTGACTGCACTCTGGTGGCTAACAGGTAAATGGCAGTTTTCCTAAAAGTCATTTTCAAGAATCTGTTGCCTCTGTTGAAATTAAAAGGCTGACCGGAGAATTACAGGATCGGGCAGTGGCCTACACTTGTCCAGTGAGTACTGCTTGCCAGGAGTCTGATCGTCAGAACAATCCTGCAGGGGAATCCCATTTCACAGTTGAGAGGACAGAGGCCCAGAGAGGTGAGAACACCTGCCTAAGGCCACACAGCAGATAAACTGAGATTTCAGCCCAGGCCAGCCTGCTATCTGCAGTCTCCCACCCTGCTATTCTTCAGTTTGAGAAACAACTGGGACGGGGTGCAGTGAGCACTGGGTTAGGAGTCCTCGGACCCTGGCGTGGCCGTTCCATTGAGGGGAGCAGGTAAGTCCCTTAGGCTCTCTGAGCCTCAGCCTTCTGTCTCTAAAATGGGGATGACGCTGCTGACCGGACAGGGATGGGCTGAGGAATAAGTGGGATGATGAGGAGATGCACATTACCAGTTGCAAAGCCACAACCGGAAGACATTTACTTCAACCTTTTCATTCTTCACAGGAGTAGAGACAGCCTGCCCTTGGTTGAGAGCCCTTACGATGAAAAATACTTGAAAAGAGAGTAGAAACTGTGCATGTGGACATGGCATGGCTCTAAAATGAGAGGCACAGTTAGCAATAAAGTGATGGGCCAGGCCTCAGCAAATGTGTCAGGGGACGCATAACCTCCCAAGCAGAGTTTACTGAATGAAGAGAGGAGGCGGGGGAAGTGCTCTGTGGGGATGACGTTCTTTTGATGGAATGCCTTGGGTGCCAGCCCGCCCCAGGCAGCGCCAGCCTGGTGGAACCATGGATTGCCTCCCTGCAGCCAGGGCTGTCCCTTCACAGTGGACTGCAGTGTGGACCCGGGAATTCCAGGTTAACCCTTTGCATCTCAGCCTTCTTACTGTCTAATATCAAGGGGAAGATGAAGTGAACCATTTTATGTAAAAACATCACGAAATACCATGTGACTCTAGGCTTTCATTTCCTGCTGGAGGCCACGAACCTCGCAGCCTGTGGATTTACGTCTTCTTTTCTGTGTTCAGCAAGTACGGATGCATGTCCTTGTGTCCCATGGGCTGGGAAACACCCTGGATGGAGTCCAGCCCGTGTCAGAGCACCGGGCAGTCCCTGGCTTTCTTCCTCGTCTCTAGCCCTCTGTGCTGGCCTTTCTGCTGGGACCCTCGGCCCCTGCCAACCACTGCCTGCCAGCCCCTCACCCTTCAGGCCTTTGCACCTGCCGTTTGGCTTGCTGGCCCCCTTCCAAAGCTCCTTCAAGGCCCCCTGAGATGGTACGCCTTCTAGGAGACCTCTCCCAGTGCGTCAGCAGGGATTCTCTGCTTGTACCAGGCACCGCCACTGCCTCACTCAACCTGAGAAAGGGGGACGTAGGGAAGAATCTCAGAACAAAATACTTAACGACCAGACCTTAACTGGCTTAGGACTAGGCAAGGGTGGAGGCCACTTGCTGTGCTGGGTATTAACCCTTTAGTTTCTGGGCTGGAGCATCCAGGGTGGCGGGAGGACACAGGGAGGGCAGCTGGGGGGAGTGGCTTTGCTCCTTCGGGCACAGCAGAGTGTCAGTGTCCTGCCGTTGTACAGGACTTTGAACAGCCCAGGGACAGGCGGGCCACTAGGCCGCTGAGCTGGCCGGACCCAGAGCAGCCTCAAGGGCTTTGTGGGAGGTACCACGCTTCAGCCGGCAGCTCACAGCTTCTACTCCCCTTTCTCTGGCTGGGCTTCAGGTACCCAGGCGTGAGAATGGGTCTGCCCCCCCAGGCCAGTCTGCTGTTGCTGGAGAGGTCCCTGAGCACCGCGAGGCCTTGAGGGCCACCTGGCTCTTCCCAGGGAAGGGCCCAGTGGGCAGGACCGCCGGGCGGCGTGCAGGCCTCCAGTGGGCCTGCTGGTGCTCTATGACTTGTCCTCTCAGTATCGTTGTCTGTGCTCTGCCTGCACCACCGGCCCCTCAGGGCACTGAGTCTTATACCTTCCATATCACTGGTGCCCAGCCCGAGCCTGGCATGTAATAGTTGTTGGACTGGGTTGGTTGCAGAATGAATTCAGGAGCCCAGTGAGAATCACAGGTCATCATTGCCTATCATGTATCTATCATAGGAGATTTGAGTCTTGACCATGAAATCCTCTGAGGCCGTTGTCACCGGTTTGATGTAGGGCAAATCCCTTCACCTCTCTGAGCCTCAGTATTCTGTCTGAGAGCATGTGGATGGTAATACGGTAAGTCCCCTGCATACAAACAAGTTCCATTCTGAGAACGCGTTTGTAAGTCCAGTTTGTTCGTAAGTCCAACAGAGTTAGCCGAGGTACCCAAGTTTTACAGATGACACCAGACACGTGAACTAACTTATGTGATCGGACATGCGAACGTACGTTCGCATCTTTGAAAGCTTTGGCGGTTCGTATGTAGGGGACTTACCGTACCTCCCCTAAAACATCCTCGTGAAGTCTACTAAGGTGATGGAGTAAAGTGCTGAGAGCCTGGTTCCCACTGAGAGCTTGAGAAATGGTGTTTCATTTACCAAAGCAGCCTGGAATCTCCCAGGCCCGGCCTCTTTTCCTCTCTGAGTGGTCGTGGTCACAGGGCCAGGTCGGGTCCCAGGGTCCCTCGTTCTGCCACAGCCCTGACGGGGCCACTTCTGGAGCTCCCAGCTGAGAGGTGCAGTTCCTGGGGACCAGCTGCCCCCGCTGCCTCTGCCTCGTTTCCCCCTGGCCTTGGTCTTTTGGTCTAGTTCTATTTCATACAAATACATTCTGTATTTTTAGGAGCTACTTTGAATCGTTTATAGAAAGTGGGTGGAGTATGCATGTTTAATTAATTAATGGCATTTAATGAATTCCATCTTTTATAACAATAAAAGTTGACTTGTCATTATAAACGCACATTTAGTGTAAGAGTGAGCAGGACCCCCAGCTAAGGGGACCCACTCTGGGCCTCTGAACCCCCTGGGACTGTGGGATCTGGGTCACCAGCTGTGCCTGCTGCCTTCGCAGGTGCCAGTTCGGCTTCACGAATTATTAATTTTTATGGCCTCCTCAAAGGCGGAGCGTCCTGAATTGTGCCCATTACTCCCGTCTGGTGAAGGACACTGTCTGGGCTGGCGGCGGGCGTGCAGTGAGCTGAACCAGCAGGAGCCGGACACCCCAGTGTTTCCCTTCCTAAGGACACCTTCCACGACTCTCAGAGTCTTTGTAGTGGAAGCTGCCTCCTCGTGAGTAGTCGTGGGGCTCAGGAACGTTGTCTGGCCGGGAGGTAGAGGCTGACTTGAGAGTTTAGCATGTAGATGGCAGCCGAAGCTGTGGACTTGAACGGTATCACATACAGAGCCTCTGGAGTGAGGTAAGGGTCAAAAACAGAGCCCTATACGAGCACCAGCCAATTACAGCACGGAGAGAAAGGAGGGTCCCAGGAGGAGATGGAGAAGTTGCAACAGGAAGGTGGCAGGAGAGTGATGTTATGAGAGCTGAGGAAGCAGAGTTTCAGGAAGGGGGAGGGGGTGGGTAATCACCTCAAACAGAGCGAAAAGGTCCAGAAAGCTAAAGACTGAGAAAGGTATACTAAGTTTATCTTTTTAGAATTTCGTTTTATTAATAATATAAAATAATGAATTCTTTAATTAGCATAAATTGTAAAAATCCATGCTATGAACTTGTTATGGTTTCTAGCCATATAAGCTTTTTTGAATTGTGTTTCCTGGTAACAGTGTCACTGGTCTTATACCTCTTCTCTGCTCGTCTTAATGATATGTACAGAACTCAGTAGTTGCTCAGATTATGGCTAAAGCACAATAAGTTTTCTTACAGGTGTGTAGATGAGCCTTGGGGTCCCATGTATGCTTTGTGGCATAAATAGGTGTGAAAATGCATATAAAAATGCAAACAAGACCTCTGAAGTGAATGCTTTGAAGGCTTAAGATGGTATAGCACTGCTGGTTCTTTCCATTTTCAATATGAAAATAGATTTCCAATGAGAATACAGTAACGTGGGTTTTTCCTGAAGAAAAATTCATCATCACAGATATAATCATTTCTGTGTTGGTCAGGGTAAGGCTAGGCTGCATGCTGTTATAATAAAGAGAACCAAGGAGGAATTCCCTGGTGGTCCAGTGGTTAGGACTCGGCGTTTTCACTGCTGTGGGCCTGGATTCAGTCCCTGGTCCGTGAACCACAAGCCATGTGGTGCGCCCAAAAAATAAAATAGAGAACCAAGAATGCATTGCCTTAGATAATAGAAGTTTATCTCTTGCGTGAAGGTCTGAGATGAGTGTTCCAGGTTGTATAACTTGGCTTTGCTTGGTCATTCAGGGCCCCAGGTTCCTTCCAGGTTGTTGCTCCCACCGTGCCCTAGGCATGTCTACGTGACTGAACCTGGGTTGCTGCAGTGCCTGAATAGTGGCCAGAGGGAAGGAAGAGAGTGTGAAGGGGCCACGCCCGTGATCTGAAAGCCTAAACACAGACTGGCATACATCCTTCCATTCCACTGGAGAATACTTAGTCACGTGGCTCTGCCTGACCACTAGGACTTCAGAAATGGGCTCTAACCAAGTTCCCAAGAAGAGGAGAATAGATTTCATTACATAGCTGTTAAAGAATAAACAGAGCCAGAGAACAGATAAAGTAGTAAAAACAGATCTTATTCAGGAGTTAATGCAGAAGGGTAGAACTGGACTCAGTTCCAAATACAGCACGGACAAGTGGGGTTTTATAGCCCAGGAGCAGGGTGTGGGTCAGTGGATGGGGAATTACTATGAGGAGACATCAGGGGTCAGGGGGTTCTGGCTAAACTCACTCCACGGGACTCTTGCTGAAGGCAGACCAGGGTGATCAGATACCACCGGGGGTGAGGAATTTGATCACGTATCAAGGGTGATCAGATATCAAAAGTGGGAGAGTCTGGCTAAACAGACTTAGCAGGATTTTTGCTGAAAATGGGCAATGCAAAGACAGATATAAATCCAAAGAAAATGAAAGTCCAGAGGTCAAGGCTTGGATGGGAAGAGGGTTCAGAGGAGACGAAAATTTGGTCAAAGAGAGTCTGTTACCAGTAACAGTCTCACTCACAACAGCCTTTATTTTAATATTTCCATCAAAACCTGGATACTTTAATAAACACTATGGGAACTTGCCATATTCGTTGCTACAGATTAAGAAGGCTTGGACTTCTCTTGAAGCATTGAAGGTTGGGGCACTTCCCAGTTGAAGTCATTTCCATGTGCTTCTGAGGTATTTACCATGCGCTGGGTACCCTCTCCACTGCAGGGATGGAGCAGTAGATGCAGTAGGCGGTACTAATCTCGGGTGGTTTTGGCTGTGTCAGCTTGAAGTGGGAATCTCAGTTGCCTGACTGGGGATCGAACCCAGGCCACAGTGCTGCCCTGGCCTGCTTTGAAGAAAGAAATCAGCAAAGAGACAAAAAGTAGTGAGGCAAGTAAAGTGTTTATTAGGAGAGAAGATACGCGCGGAGAAAGCACGGGCGGGCTCAGAGAGAGAGAAAGAGAGCCGTGGGCTTTTGGGGTGGGTTAAACCACTTATATGGAGGCAGTTCTGCGTTTCCAGTCATCTTGCTTTGTCTGGCTTGGAGTCCATATCTCGTCTGGCTCAGGGCCCTACCCTGGGTGCACGTGCATCTTTTAGCCAAGATGGACTCGGGCGCTGGGTTCCCTGAGACGTTGACAGAACACATTATGGTCTAGCACCCCCTCCCCTGAGGATCCTTTCTGCACATGCGTAGCTTGGGGGTCTCCTTGACCTCCAGAATGAGAAATATGTGGTCTCTTTATCTTTGATCTCGGCAGGACTCAGCTCCTCCTGGCTCCCGCCATTGTCTTTATCTTGGAGTATCTGTCCACAGGGGACAGACTTCAGCTGCTCAGCCTGGGGCCCGTCTGTCTCCTGCCTCAGGGTCTGGTCATTCAGATCCAGGACAGGCCCAGGGACTCAGGTTACCTGGTCCTCTTCCTGATTAAAAGTCTTTTGTTCTTCTCTTCCGTAAGTGAAGTTATTCTTCCACGAATCGTCATCTTTCCATATCAAAAACACGTTTCCAGGGCTCCCCTGGTGGCGCAGTGGTTGAGAATCCGCCTGCCGATGCAGGGGACACGGGTTCGTGCCCCGATCCGGGAAGATGCCGCGGAGCGGCTGGGCCCGTGGGCCATGGCCGCTGAGGCTGCGCGTCCCGGAGCCTGTGCTCCGCAACGGGAGAGGCCACAACAGTGAGAGGCCCGCGTACCGCAAAAAAAAAAAAAAAAAAAAAAAAAAAAGCACGTTTCCATGAATACAGTTAGATATTAATGCACCATTAAGGAGTCAGATTCCCTGAAAACTTTCAGTAGTGAAATTTCATTTCTAAAACTGGTAGCAAAGCTTTTCTTAGATCCTCAAATATCACCAACCTGAGATAATGGCCCGGAGCAGAACATTTGACTCCTGTTGATGGATAGCCTTTGTTTATGTGGATTTGTTTTGGCGGCCTCATTATCAGTCTGGACATTTTATTTCACAGTTTGCAAATATTTATGTGTTTTAGCCTCAGGGAGAATAACACATTCTCTGTTTTTATGGAAAGCCATAATGCCCTATAGCCATCCAGGGTGATTTATTAGACTATATACTGTATGTCAGGATTAGCATCCTCTAATTTTAAAACATATTTCTAGAATGGATTTTTTTCTTTTTAGCTTTATGTTTTTGAAAGATAAACCCATTTTGGCAGCCATTGTAAAAGCACTGCCAAAGTTAATTAGGCTTTCAGACAGCGGGGGTCTGCCATTAAACAATTTATGTTTGCTTCTTTTCGTGCTCATTTAGTTTAGTCGGGAACTACTCTATCTGTCCACCTCTGTTCAGCTGGAAATGTATAAACGTTCATAGGCCATTTCATTATTTAAAGAAAAGGTGTGTGTACTCATAGGTCATCTCATTATTCAGAGAAAATGTGTATGTATTCATGGGTCATTTCATTATTCAGGGAAATTGTGTATTAGTGACTAGAACAATAGATCTTGATTTATCGTGTGTACTTCATGGCAGAAATATAAGTAATGTCAGATCTCATAAGTAAGCTGGTGTGTTGTGTTTTTTTCACTGTTCATCCCCACCCCGTGTGCAGTGAGATTACCATATGTGCAAAATGCATAGTGAGCTGTAGAGATCTGGGTTATCTTAAGCAGTTGACTTTCTTCACAGGAGATTTTCCAGAGGTCATACAAGTTAAGGATTAAGGGTTACCCCAGTGAAGGCCGGGATGCATTTTCTAGGAGGAAGAGGCAGCATGTGGAAAGTCTGGGAAGCATGAAAGAACAGGTGTGCAGGGCCCACAGAAGGCAGATGCTGTGCGTGGCCAGAGCACAGCACTAGGGAACCCTGGGCCTCAACGTGAGGCAGGGCCAGAGTAGACTGACGGCTGTGCGTGGCTTCTTGGGAAGGTGGCACCGTGGAAGAGCAGTGACAGTCGGGGTTGCCTTCTACGTCGACCTCACTGGCTGTGGAGGAGGCAAGATGTGACTGCAGGCAGGCCAAGGAGGGGCCCATGCCATCCAGACAGAAGCTGACTGAGGCAGACCCTGCTCAGGGACGCAGGGATACAGGAGAGAGGGGCAGAGAAGCCCAGGAGGACACATGTGCAGGGCGCAGGGGAGGGAGAAATCGAGGAGGACCCACAGCCTCGGCTTGGCTGCCTCGGGTCGGGGGGTTGGTGGCCTCCTGGAGGGGGAGACAGGAGTGGGGCGGCCTGGGGAACCGGGTGGATGAGGTCAATGCTGACTTCCACGGTGGTGAGGATGATGGGCACTTCGGTGGAGGGCGGGGTCTCGGGCTGGCCTTTCGGAGTGGGGATTTTATGTGTAGGTGGCAGCGGGCAGGTAATCTTGAAACTGGACTGTACTGTTATTGTGGGTGAGAAAGGTCTTGGCTCACTTGGGATCCTGCTTGCTGAGGCTGAAATCGTCACGGACAGTTTTGGAGCACGCTAACCACTAACTCTCTCTGTGTTGCCTCTTTAGGAAACCGTATCACCCTAAACTGGAGGCTTTCGTGAGTCACATGTCCAAAGGATCCGGAGCCTCTTTCGAAAGCCCCCTGCACTCCCTGCCTCTTTATCCCAGCCACCAGCTGTGTGAGATGGGAGAGCTCACGCAGACAGGTATGTGGGGCTGCCCCTCCCCTACTCAGTCTCCCACCCGCTCTTGTATTTGGCGGACGCGTGTATCGGGGCCTCCTGGGAAAGACACTGTGGGCGCAGGGGTGAGTAGGGCCAGCACCTCAAGTAGCTGTGTGCCCACCAAGGTATCTGATTCAACATGTGATTTCTAAATATTAAAAATAACCTTTTGGGCTTCCCTGGTGGCGCAGTGGTTGAGAGTCCGCCTGCCGATGCAGGGGACGCAGGTTCGTGCCCCGGTCCGGGAAGATCCCACATGCCGCGGAGCGGCTAGGCCCGTGAGCCATGGCCACTGAGCCTGCGCGTCCGGAGCCTGTGCTCCGCAGCGGGAGAGGCCACAACAGTGAGAGGCCCACGTACCGCAAAAAAAAAAAAACAAACAACCTGTTTTCTTATTACAATATTTCTTATTTCTTATTCTTATTATATGTTCATGGAAGAGAAAGCAGGAAAGACAAGCAAAAGGAAGAAAATTTAAAGCACTCATAATCCCACCAAAGAAATGAATAATCTTTCTTCCTGTGTTTATATCTGCATGCACTCGTGGGCGTGCACACACACACACACACACACACTCATTCTCACAGGTGGTATCTTCCTAAACAGTTTTGTAACCTACTTTTTCACTTAACAATATGTTGAGATCATCTTTCCCTATCAATCAATGTTCATCAACAACGTCATTTCTGACAGCTTCATATTATTCCACTATGAATGGGCCATGACTCATGTAACCAGTCCCATGTTCTTAGCTACTTCAGACAAAACAGCTGAAAGGTTTTAATGCAGCAGATCTCAGGGAGACGCGCATATGGCAGAGCCCCACTGCGCGTGGAGTTTGTCTGGCTTGTGTGTTCCTCGCAGAAGCCCATCTCTCCCTCCGCAGCCCTGTTCATACCGCTGTGTTGCCAGTTCACTGTCAGCGTAGGTTGGTGATTTAACAGTGGGGTCACCTTTGTCGGTACGAGAAGGAACTGGTGGTCCCCTAAGAGGTTCCAGCTTCCTACTTCCTCAGTCTGGGACCTTAAAGGACTTTTGTGTGGCCACCAGCCTTTCTGGAGGAATCAAGGCGACCGATTGGCCACGTTCTGTTTCTTGACCCACCAGCATCTTAGGACCTCAGCTTTGATGGAAGGAAGGTCTCTGTCCTGTACTTGGCCCTGTTGGTTTCGCCATGTTTTGAAAGCCATTATTATTGGGGATACAGAGTGACAGAGTGGGGCAGGCTTAAGTCTCTGGAGGACTAGCCTTGAATAAGGAGTTTTGTCAAAAGCTTTTCCTAATTAGTTCACGTGCACAAGCTCTGCATTAGTTTAAAACAGGAGTTCTCCTCCTACCAGATCCAGCACCCCCTTTTATTAACAAGTGTTTTGTGGTGCTCCCTGAACTATCCTGAAGTGAAATTCGAGTATAACTTTTCTATATACATAATTTTAAAAAACAGTTATGTCAGGCACCCTAATTGTAATATGAAGTAGAAACAACAGGAAACTAATTTATTATATAATTCTGTATATCTCAGTATAAATGCCTGAGCGCACCTTTGTTAGAAAATAGGATGAAATAAATCAATTGCTTGCACTTCAGTGTAGGTTGATGTGTGTCACAGCTACAGATGCAGACTGATCAAGGGATGTGTATTGGTGACTCTACTACTCCGTGTCAGGACATGATTTTTTTTGACAAGTTGTGATCAAAACAAAAGACACGTGTCCCTTAATTTATATTGCATTTCTGGAAAATTCAGTGGATGTTAATGTTATGCAAAAATGGTTTTGTGTTTATAGACACAAACAACCAGATTTGAGATTGAAGTATTTAAACAGGGTTTTCACATGAGGGAATGTCTTATACACTCAAAAGTTACGTGGAACAGAAAACAGTTCCTTGTGAAGACTGTCTGGCCCTTGGACCCCACCCACGAGGGATTGGGAACGTGCTTCCCCATATTATTGTGACAACCCAAACCCTCCCTGAGGGCAGAACCGTGCTTGCCTAGAACCACTGATTGCAAGTAATAGAAACCAACTCAAGCGGAAAAAGGACATTTATTATAAGGATTCAGGGTGACTCACAGACTCTTAAGGGCAAGAATATGACCAGACCTCCAGAAGCTGGTACCAGCAATAAAGAAGCTGTCTGTCCCTACCTCTGTGGTTTTGCTGTGTGTCTGTCAACAGAGACAGTCCTAGCCACGTGTAGAGATGAATTTACACGTTCAAGTTCCTGAGGGAATCTGACGGGGTCCTGAGGGTCAGCGTCCGTCAGCTGGCTAGGAAGTCAGGGTAACTGCACCGAGCAGCTATTCATTCTAACCTTTCTTCCCCGTTGACCTGTGATCATCGTCGTTTTCTAAGTTAGCACTACCCTAGAAATCATTTTTGCGGTTGTTTGCTCCTATTCCCGCTTTCTCTTTTAGTGGTCACTTTTATCTTCTATTTGAAATTTCACATCGCTGTTAGAATCATCATTTGTAAATGGCACACTTTGGGCACCCCACAGGAGCTGTGTAAGATGTGACTGATCATAAGTGCCTACTCTGTCCCAGATGCTTTGACAGCTGCCGCATGTAGGGAAGGGGCGGTGGCTGGATGACCGAGATGCTGTCCTAAAGGAACCTGCAGCTGCAGTGGTACAGCGCATGGAGACGCCTGAGGGTGTTGCTGCAAGTCGCAGGCTCTTACAGAGTAAACACGGGTTTTGGAGTAGACAGACCTGTGAAACGGGGCTCATAGCATCTTCCCGACAGCGCTGGTGGCAAGCTGCAGTAGACAGCAGGTGTAAAGCGCCCAGCACAGTGCTAGCATATGCTAGGCTCCGTGTATGCAGCTGTTGCCTTAGCGGTCCAGCGGCCTGTGCAAACAGGAGGGAACGATTGATTGGACCTCTGGGGAGCGGGGGAGGAGGAGGGAGACAGAGAAGGTAGTATTGGAGCCAGGATGAGGATTTCACTGGGAAGAGAAAGGGAAGGGCGTGAACAGAGGCATGAAGATGCAGGCCGTGTTTGGAGAGAAGGAGAAGCCCTGAATGGGTAGTGTTTCTGCAGGAACATGTAGGGAGGAGGTGATGTGAGCACAAGGTTGGGCCGGGGCAGGGGCTGGAGTTCTGCTCGGCCACGTCCTAACTGTGAATGGCTTGGGCCTCAGTTTCCTCACCTGTAAAATAAGGAAAAGGGGGATAATGATAATATGCCTTCTTCGCTGGGTTTTCTTGAGGATTAAAGGAGAAAGGTTGGCACACAGTAAGCGCGCCAACCTTAATGTACATAGCCTCAGAATACAGGGTAGGCCCAGAGGGGAACGGGGGTAGACACACATTCTGGATGTTTGTCACTCATGGCTGGTCCCTTCGTGCGGGTCATTTGGAAACGCGAAGACCTGCCCCAGCCCAGATCTCTCAGGGAATTCTGTCAATACTCTTCATTCAAAGTAGGACCTAGACATCCTTCTTTTTTTTTTTCCTGAGCTATTCCCCTTCCTGGGCCAACACCATTCCCTCTGTCTCACGCATTTCAGCCTGAAGTCGTCTCATCTTTGTGGTGGGGCTTTTCAAACCATTCGGGCATCTGAATAAGTGGCATTACTGGTCATAGGGCCTGCCTGTGATTGACACTCTCGGAGAATGCAGATCTTGCACTGAAATTCCATCCCAACATCCCGTTGGCTGTAGGGTGAGCTTGCTTTCATCTTGGACCACCTTCTCCTGCTTGAAGATAAGACTTTTGCAGTTTTTTTCCTTTTTTTTTTTTTCAAGATACTATACTGTGGTATAGTTCCTGTGTGTAGTTCGAAACTATGACAACTAAAGGGTAAACTTAAAATTCACGCTCCTACCCATGTTCCACCTCCCCCCCCATTTCTGTGCCCCCATCATCCCCAGGTAACCATTGTGCATCCCCGCAAAATTTTTCTATGCAAAACACAGGCAGCTGCCGATACACGTTCTTATTTTCCCCTCATTTTTATTTAAAAGCAGCATGATCAACATACTGCTCTGCAGTTTGCTTTTTTTTTCCCCCCAAATATTCTGAGTACCTGGGAGATCATTCCAGATCCATACAGAGACAGTATCCTTGCTGATGAGCCGGTAAAGCCCTAGCAGGATTGGGCAGAATGGACCCAGAAGGTGAGCAGAGAGCCTTCAGCTGGGACAGTAGGGAGGATGGTGTGAAGGAGGGGACGTCCTCAGAGTGAGGGGACTAGGCAGCCAGCAAGTGACTTGTTCTCCTTGCCTGACAGATTTCCATGAACTCCCCGGGCACACTGAGGAATGATTTGTCCCAGCGCAGGAGGGAGAAAGCTCTCCTTAGGCCCCTGCCAGTTACCTCCTAGACGTCCACCAGTGCGATGGTTCCTACCCTCTGAGCCCCGCCAGTCACATCCCTCCTCCAGGGGAGGGACCAGTCAGAAGGGAGGAATCAAGGCAGATAAAGGGTCCTTGTGCTTCCCAGAAAGGTGTGGGTCCAGAGGACCGGGCCCCGCTCTGCTCGTCCCTTTGTGGATAACCCTGAGGGGCTCCCTTTGCACGCTGATGTGAGCCCGTTCTCGGGGCTTCTACACACTGGGGGCCAGGCTCAAGGATGTAATCATTTGCCGTCTAAAGCATTCCAGAGTTGGACGGGCCTCGACTCCCCGTGCTGTTCCTTCTGCTAAGCTGGTAGCAAGGCAAGCGTGTGGCACTCTTGTGTTTCAGGGGTTGTGCAGCATCTGCAGAACGGCCAGCTGCTGAGGGACGTCTACCTGAAGAAACACAAACTCCTGCCCAGTGACTGGTCCACAGAGCAGCTTCGCTTAGAGACCACTGGCAAAAGCCGGACGCTGCAGAGTGGGCTGGCTCTGCTTTATGGCTTTCTCCCAGATTTTGACTGGAAGAAGATTTATTTCCGGCACCAGCCCAGCGCTCTGTTCTGCTCCGGGAACTGCTACTGCCCGCTGAGGAACCAGTACCTAGAAAAGGAGCAGCGTCGGCAGTACCTGTTGCGTTTGAAAAACAGGCAGCTGGAGAGGACCTACGAAGAGATGGCCAGGATCGTGGACACCTCCACCAAGCAGCTCCGCGCCGCCAACCCCATAGATGCCATGCTCTGCCTCTTCTGCCACAACGTCAGCTTCCCCTGCACCAGGAATGGCTGTGTTAACATGGAGCACTTCAAGGTGATCAAGAGGCATCAGATAGAGGACGAGAGCGAGAGGCGGGAGAAGAAACTGTATCTGGGGTACGCGCTCCTGGGCGCCCACCCCATCCTGAACCAGACCGTGGGCCGCATGCGGCGCGCGGCAGAGGGCTGGAAGGAAGAGCTCTTTGCTCTCTCCTCTGCTCACGACGTCACTCTGGCCCCGATTCTCAGTGCCTTGGGCCTTACAGAAGCCAGGTTCCCGAGGTTCGCGGCCAGGTTGATCTTTGAGCTCTGGCAAGACAGAGAGAAGCCCGGCGAGCACTCCGTCCGGATTCTCTACGATGGTGTCGATGTCACGTTCCACACCTCGTTCTGCCAGGATCACCACAAGCGGTCTCCCAAGCCCATGTGCCCCCTCGAAAACTTCGTCCGCTTTGTCAAAAGGGACATGTTCGTGGCCCTGGGTAGTGGTAGCACTAATTATTATGATGCGTGTCACAGGGAAGGATCCTAAAAGGTACGTGGTGCGGCGCTAACAGAATCTATGCCAATACAGAGGGATGGGAAAGGTCCGCTTCTAGTTCTTTTGGTTGCTAAGGGTACAAGGTGATTTTTAAAGGCCGGAAATCATGCTTGGGGGCCACATAGATTTAGGGTTGAACAGTGAATATGTTGCTGTAATTGGGTACTTGAGTTACTTGGTACACAGTGGCCAGTTCACAGAGAGAGGAAGGTACTTTATCATAGCCAGACTTTGCTTAGGATGCCAGAACAATGCGTCAGTACCCAAAGCTGCCAATCCACTTATGTGTTCTTTTGATCTGCCTTGGTACTGTATGATGGAACCAGCAAACCTCAGCCAGAAGTTTCTTCATCTGGGACAGTCTTACCTTGTCCTTGTTCAGTGAACAATTTCCTGAAGTCATTTATCTAAAATAGGGGTAGGCAAACTTTTTCCGTAAAGGGCCAAATAGTAAATATTGTAGACGTTTTGGACCCAAAGGCCACATATAGCATCTGTCACAGCTACTCGATTCTGCCCTTGTAACTTGAAAGCAGCGACAGACAGCACGTGAATGAATAAGCATGGCTGTGTTCATAGGCCTCACAGAGCAGGCACTGGGCCAGGTGTGGCCCGAGTGCTGTAGTTTGCTGATCCCTGTTCTAAAAGCTAGGCTCTACTACAATTGCACTTGCAGCACTTTGCCAGAGAACCAGTTGAATACCCAGAATTATTCAGTGGTGCCTCCAGTAACTTCTGCTAGAAACACAGAACCTGGTCTGTATCCGACATTATAACACAACCTGAGGGGAAGTAAACATTGAGTCAAGAGGAATCATAGAAAAATTATTAGAATATTACTTGATGTTCATGATTATGGTATAAGGTAGTTCTGAGTATGTCTTAAATATTTGTCTGCTGTAGTCTATTTGCTGTACACGCTGAAATTTTTGTATTCCGTTTAGTATTTTTATAGTCTAGGGAAATATTTTCTAAGACGAGTTTGAGATGTGCTCTGATTCCTCTGACATATTCAGTTTACTGTATCTGCTTGGGGGTTAGAAGGGAGCCGGAAGCTGAATTCAGGCACTTTCTTCCAGTAGAACTAATCATGGCTCATTGCCTTCGACGAGCAGTAGAATTGGATCGATTTTTAAACCATTTTCGTGTTTCAAATGGTACATTCGAATTGAGTTTTAAATAAGTTTTTGGAAGAAGTTTGTTACTAGACAGTTAAATAATCTTTATAAGGTATTTTATATATTAGAAGCAATTATAATTAAATCTGTGAGTTCTGACTAAAATGGTGCTAGTTCTGTGCGAAGAAATATAAAGTGGGATTCCCCGATGTCGCTGGTATTCCAGCCTTTTCTGTTTGTTTTTTGTCCAGTGTTGCATTTGAATACATCCGTTTCTATTAATAAATTTTTGAAGATTACTCGTACACACAACTCATGGTTTGTACCTGTAAGTCACTCTATTTCCTTTCAAGTGAGTTCATGTGTTTTTTTAATTTATCTTTTTTTTAATAAACAAAAGCATTTTAAATTAGAAAGCTCTACAGCAGGGGTCCCCAACCCCCAGGCCACAGACCACAGCCTGTTAGGAACTGGCCGCACAGCAGGAGGTGAGCTGCAGGAAGGCGAGTGAAGCTTCACCTGCCGCTCCCCATGGCTCCCCATCGCTCACATGACCGCCTGCACCATCCCCCATCCCCCCACCCTGTCCGTGGAAAAACTGTCTTCCACGAAACCAGTCCCTGGTGCTAAAAAGGTTGGGGACCGCTGCTCTACAGTACACGTGGGTAAGGGAGTGCCAGGCCCCAGCCTAGTGTGGCCAGCCACAGGCCAAGCTGGGCCCTCAGGGGTGATGGGAAGGGACAGCAGTCCTGCACTGGGCCACAGAGGGGCTGCAGCTTCCTTCTCTGACAGCAGCATCAGGGCTCGGTGGCCTAGAGGATGTGTCACAGCTGGTGGCCTTGGACTGGGTGAAAACTTGTCCCCAGAGCTGCTTTTTTTTTTTTTTTTTTTTTTGCGGTACGCGGGCCTCTCACTGTTGTGGCCCCTCTCCCGTTGCGGAGCACAGGCTCTGGACGCGCAGGCTCAGCGGCCGTGGCTCACGGGCCTAGCCCCTCCGCGGCATGTGGGATCTTCCCGGACCGGGGCACGAACCCATGTCCCCTGCATCGGCAGGCAGACTCCCAACCGCTGCGCCACCAGGGAAGCCCCGCAGAGCTGCTTTTATTGCTGAAAATTGTGTGTTACCTCTCGAGTATTTAAAGCCGTAGCAGGTTTTTTTTGTTGTTGTTCCCACTCACAATCTATCTGAATCAGAACTGCTACACACAGCTTGAAGATTTAAAAATAAAGGTGAATCAGAAGATGTTTTAAAAGTCAGTTCGCAACGTCTGTTGGTAAAGGTGGATATTTTGCATAAGAGCCAACATTAAAAGTGTAGATAGAGGTTTTGCCTCCCAAGACATTGGGTATGCATGGCATTAAAGTATCCTTCTCAATATCAACTTCTGAGACATTTCATTTCCATAAACAAACACTGAGCACCCAGCTGAGGTCTCCTTTAACAATATGTCTTTTAGATATATTTCTCATTAAGCTGCTTCCCATAACAGTATATCTTGGAGAGTTCCACATTGAGAGAGGGTGGTGGGGCAGGGGAGAGAGAGAGAAAGGGAGAGGGAGAGGGAGAGGGAGAGACGGGGGGGGGGGGGGGAGGGGGGGAGAGGAGGGGGGAGAGAGAAAGAGAGGAGAGAGTTAGAGAAAAAAGGAAGGAAGGAAGAAAGAAAGGGAAAGAAAGAAAAAGAAAGAGAAAAGAAGGAAAGGAAGGAAGAAAGGGAAGGAAGGAGAAAGAAAGGTGGGCAGCTCTGGGCAGCTCTTTTATAGCTATAGGCATAATTCATGATTTCATGATATAGATGAGACATATTTTTAAATTTTCATTAAAAATGCATGAAATTAAAATGTAACACCAAGGTACTAGCATAGGACTACAAAGCTTTTGAGGTACACGGAACAAAGTAGAGAGACCAGCAATTGTATGTGTTGATTAATATGACTAGAGTACATATTCTTTCTCTAAATTCACTTAGAAATAGAAATGAAGAACTTAAATGAAGAAATGAAGAACAGCAATCCTTAATTGCCGTTAAGCCTATTTGAGGGTCTTTGTAGCTATAGCAGCATTAGATGTTTGAAAGATTTGAATGATTCCTTTTTTCTAGAACTCACAGAGACTGACACGGGATAGGCAGGGATGCTTCCGTTTCTCTGAATCTTTAGAAAGCCTTCTGGACAGGTGGAGCAGTCTAAGCGTGTTTAAACACAACATAAGTAGAAAGCGGAAGACAGCTGGGGTTCACGCTGCGGGTCGCGTTGATCGGGGCTCGCTCAGAGCTCTGGCCCGGGCACCAGTTAGCTCCCATTGCCCGAGGCCCCTGAACTGAGCGCTGGGTTGCGCCCTGGAGAGTGCCTGCCCAGTGGCCAGCTCTGGCTTGACACTTCATCAGAGCTTCCGGTCAGGCCTTCCGGGCCTGTGAAGCCCTACAGCCAGCTGAGAGTGGCCTTGATGAGAAGGTATCCCCGGGACAGCTCCTCCCAGGGCTGCAGAGCCCCTCACGGAGGGGTGGCCTGAGGCCTGGCTTCTGGAGAAAGTAGTAAAGGCAATATTTCTGGGGTCCTGCTTCTCTCGGGGGGGCACCCCACAAGCATCTCTCTATCAATCTAATCCTCCGAGGGAGGTCCTATTACTCCTAATTCAGTGAGGAAACAGTCTCATCAGGGTGAAGTCACTTTTCAAAGGAAGAGTCAAAATGCAGATTCTAACCCAAGTTTACATGACATCAGGGTGAAGTCACTTTTCAAAGGAAGAGTCAAAATGCAGATTCTAACCCAAGTTTACATGACATCAGTGAAACTTACAGCACATGGACGTGTCAGAGGCTTTCCTACACTCATTCAATCCTCCCAATAACCCTCCAATATACCATATTTGCTGGCGAGTCTCAGTGAGTACTAAAATACAGTGGGATTACAACAGCTATAAATTTAAATCTAAATGGTTAGGAGAATATTCCAACTCTGCTTCTGACCAAAAACTGGTTACAGTTTTTGTTAAGAAAAAACTACTTACATGAGTAATTTTACAAACGCATTTTTGCAGTGATGTTATATTATACTCAGCCACTAGGGGGCAGCATCAAATATAATTGTTAGACTTCGTGACCCAGTGTTCCATTTGTAAAGGAGGTAGGTATTTCGGGAAATGTTTTAATAGGGTGACCAGCTGTCGTGGTTTGCCTGGGACTGTGGAGTTTCCCAGGATGTGGGAGTTTCAGTGCTAAAAGTGGGCAAGTTCCAGGCAAACAGGGACCAGTTGGTTACCCTAGTGTTACATGAGACATGCATTAGGTGGTACTGTCATTTCCACTTTTATAGGAAAAGGGAAGCGTGATGGAGTGAACTCTCTGAAGTTTCACACAGCTAGCTATGCAGCAGAGCTGAGGCTCAGGGCTGTCGTCCATTAACCCAAAGGCCCGTGTTCTTAAGCAGAATATGACTACGCATCTCTGAACCATCCAGGACTGTTTGGTCACATGCAACAGAAAACTGGCTACAGTGGTTAAGCAAATAAAGCCTTCAGTGGCTTTATTTCTCCGGTGGCTCCACCATGTCATCAGGAACCCAGGTTGCTATCTACATCTTACTGGCCAGAACGGGGTCCCGTAAGCCACTGCCACTGCAGAGAAGTCTAGGAAAGGGAGTATTTTTATTGGGCACATTGCTGTCTCAAGCAAATCAGGCCTTCTTAATAAGGAAGAAGGGGGAAAGTGGATACTGGTTAGAGAACCAGCAGTGACTGTCACATTCTCCAAAGCCACCCCTTAGAACTGAAGTGTGGTGGATGCTATACCCTACCCAGATTCCCCACTTCAGGACTTCTTTCCCCAGTGGCTGGGAGTGTGCAGGCTGGCAGTGCCTCTTTCCCAGGCAGCCACACCCACTGACTGGGCAGGGCAGGGATTGAAAGACCTGGGGACAACCCTGAAGGGCCATCCCAGCTTTGGTGCTCCCCACGGGGTCTGTTGAGGCCTTGGGACTGCACTGCAGCCCATTACTTCTGCCCCGTCCTGCTTTCTTCCCCTCCTTCACAGTGTCGACCCCAAGAACACTCCCCAGTAAACTTCCTACATCTACATCTGTCTCAGAGTCTGCTTCCTGGGAACTGAGCTGCAGTGGAAGGCAAGCAAATCCTAGGGACTAAGGCCTCTGCTAGTCTGGGCAGTAAAGCTGGAGTCATTATCTGAAAGATCAATGTAGCCATTGATCACAAATTTCTTCTATCACTGCCTATGAGAGGCTTACCATGTCATTGCGGAAGCTAAGTAAGCACACGTGAAGCAACAGGAGACACAGAGGGCTGTTACAGTAAAACTCAGCGTTTATTGAGCACATATTAGGGGCTGGACACTGGGCCAAGCACTCAACTGACAGAGTCTCTGTCTCAGAGTATGAGTAGGCATCTATGATCTCCGTTTTACAGGAAAGGAACAGAGGCTCAGAGGCAGACACCTGCCTAGGATGGCGTAGCCACTAGTGAGTAGCAGACTCAGGACTGGGCTGGACTACAGAGCTCTCCCAGCTTCCTTAGCTCACCCCTTCCTCTACCCTCACAGAAGTGAATAAGTAAAACTGGGAACTTGGGGTGTAGGCAAGAGTTTACCCAACCCCAGGGAATGATCGCTGTTCCAGATGTTCATGTTCCTAGCAGTTCCTAATGCAGCATTTCAAAGAAATTAGGATCATCTTACAATGGTTATCTTAGCCTGGGTTCCTTTGAAAAGCAGAGTCTGAGAAAAAAACCTTAAGTGTAGGTATTCAATAGGAAATGTGGTCCCCAGGAGCAAAGGTGAAGGACAGAGAGGGGGAAAAGGGAGGGGAAAGCCAGCGCGAGGATGCACACTGAGCTGACCATGGTGATAGGCCATCCAGCCGAGGGACCTCCCAGAAGCCCTGTGAAATGCACCTCCTCACTGGTCATCTGGGGGAAGGGGGGCTACATTTATCCCTCAGCTCTGTCCACAGCTGTGTCCCCCTCGCTTCTGGGTGGAACATGCATGAGTGGGTCCACCTGAGCATCTGAGAAGCCCTCGGGCAGGAAGCAAGAGAAGGAGATGCTGCAGATCAAAGCCTGCAGGGCCTGGTGGTCACACAGTGGCTGGGAAAAGACACGAGGCCGAGAGGATTGGAACTGGAGCAGGCGATGCACAGGGTGAGACAAGCCAACGTTCGTTGAGCGCTTTAACGTGCCAGGCGCTGTGCTGCGTTTCACAAGCATAACCTTGTTTCATCCTCACAGCAACCCTGTGGCTTAGAAATCATCGTTCTCATCTCTCATTTGTAAGAGGAGGAAAGAAACAGAGAAGAGGTC